TGCCCCTTTAGGAAGCATGCATGTGCGAAAAAGTCCAGATGACTAGTGGCATCTTTTGCAGCGGACTATTATTCACATTTATTTATTTTAAATTATTCACTCTATTTTTATTGTATTTTTTCCATTACCATTTGTGCCTCGTATCCCCCCCCCCCACAACAATCACTGCACTGTCGGCCATGCCCATGAGTCCCTTTTCCTTTTTTCTCTGTCCCTCCAACCTCTAAACCCACCCCCTGCCCCCGAGTGCTCTGTGAGCCTGCTCTCTATGAGTCCGTCTCTATTTTGCTTTTTAATTCAGTTTATTCATTAGATTCTACATATGAGTGAAATCATGTATGTTTGGTGTCTTTCTCTGACTGGCTTATTTCACTTAGCATACTGTATTTCTCAGACTATAAGGCTCACCCCCCAATTTGGGAGAAAAATGGGGGTGCATCTTATAGTCCAAATGTAGCTTACCTGGCTTGCTGTGGTGGGGGGCTAGCAGTGGAGTGGGGTCACAGGTTATTAAATATTTTACCACATTGTTTGCTTCAAAGATTTTTTTTCTCCCTATTTTCCTCCTCTAAAACCCAGGTGCATCTTATGGCCTGGTGCATCGTATAGTCCTAAAAATACGGTAATGCTCTTCATGTTCATCCACGCTGTCGAAAAGGGTAAAATTTTCTTCTTTTTTACACCAAGTAGTTTCCATTGTGTAAATGTCCCTTAGTTGTTTTACCCACTCATCTACTGATGGACACTTGGGCTGCTTCATAGCTTGGTGATTGTAAATAACGCCGCAATGAACATAGTACCTCAAAAAATTAAAAATGGAACTGCCTTGTGACCTAGCAATTCCACTTCTGGGAATTTATCCAAAGAAACCTGAAACACTAATTTGAAAGAACATAGGAATATTATTGACATTTGTTTGCTTTATCTTTTACTGCACATTTATGGAGGGCCAGCACTGTGCCAGGGGTCGGGCCAGGTGCTGAGGATGCTGAGCAGAGCCGGCTCCTCTTGTCTCTGTGAGCGCGCAGTGGTGGGAAGTCCTGATTTCAGTGGTCTTGTGACTGCTTTTATCTGCATTTCAGGGTTTTTTCCCCTAATCATTTGCCTCTGTGGAAATTCAGAGAGTTACAGTGTGCACTGTTGTTTTGATGTTAATCAATTAATTAATTTCCTATTTAGTTCTCAAAAGAGTGTGAAGTGGGTTATCAACAATGCACAGATATAGTAAGACTAAGGAGTACCAGACAATAAAGCACAACACTGAGTAAAAAGGGAGCAGCGGATAAAGATCTTGTTCTGGAAACTGTTTAAAGCAAGTGAACCCAGCACTCCGCTTGACTTTCAAGACAAGAGGAAGACAAAGTGAGAAGACAAAGGCACTTGAAAGCCTTCAAGAAAGGATGTCAGTTTCACAAAAGAAACCCACTTTTCCCTGGATCTAAATTCTATGTGGAATTTGCCTTTAGATCCTCATATAAGGAGCGCTGAACATGTTCTAAGGTATGGGAAATAAGCATAATTGAAATGTTTATCTGTGTCTGCTCTGGGTGCAGATAGCAAGAGTCTGTTGGGTTCCTAACGGGTTGGACTGGAAGAGTGAGTATATGTGTGTGTATTTGCGATGTCAGGGAGAAGAACAGGTTCCCAAAGTGTTATTTCACTGTAATGGTTAAACAAACAAACAAACAAGCAACCCCTGACAGGTTAGAGTTGTGTTAGAGTGACAGTTAGTGTCATCTCACGGTGACTGGTAGCATCCAGTTTGCTTCCTCCAGTTGTTAGTAACAGGGAGGAGACCTGGAGGGAGACAGTTCTCAGCGAGGCCCCATTTGCTGTCCCCACTGGGGCTGGCGAGGCCTGAGCCCAGCCGTCGACCTGCCCTTCCCAGCTGAAGCAGGTCTTATGCCAGCAAGGGACAGGGGAGCCCAGTCCATCCCTCGCCCTCTCTTCTAAATTCCCAGTAGGCACTGCACAGATCCCATCTGAGAGCAGGAAGGAAGACAAGGAAATTGGTGATGATGACGCTGCTGGTGGTGGTGGTGGTGATGATGCACAGGGTGCCAGGTACTGGGGGATAGTGGCAACAGGCTTCGTGGAAGAGCTGGCACTTACAACACACCACGGTGGGAACTGCGGCGGAGGGCAGATTACAGGCTAAGGTCTATGGCAAGGAAGTCTGTGGAGAAGGGGCAGTTCATGGAGGCTTGGACACCATTCTAAGAAATTTGGACGTGTTGGATAACAGTCGGTCATGACGAATTTTGAGGAGGGCAGTCTATGACATACTTTGCCTTACATTTTAAGAGGCTATTTCTGCCAACAGTACAGAGCTGTACTATCTAAAACCATAGCCGCTAGTCACGATACCATGTCGACCAAGGGAGACCTTTCCAGATGGGACATAGTTACAAATGCAGGAAGCAGAGGCTGTTTGGGGGCTGTCTCTGGAAGCCCCTGGATGGCATTTGTTGTGGGTATGGCTTTAATGGGTTACCTGAAGGCAGATGTCACATTACAGAAAGTCCAGGAGAGAGAGGCTGCTGAGGAAGGGGGGCTGCAGGTGTGGGGAGAATGAGGTAGAAGGAGTTTGGGCACTCAGGAAGGTTGTGGGGGCTGGGAGACTGGGGATGGAGGCCGTGGGAGTCCTTTATCCATTTTTTCCAAACAAATACTTAATAGCCACACATGCCCAAGTGCAGGATCCAACCTTTCCACAGGCTCTATCAGGGCTGGGGCTCCTTCATTTGGGAGAAAGCAAGGGGAGACCCCAGCCTTGCTCTTGAGAAGGACTCGAGAAGTCCCAAGGGGGGAGATCAGAGAGCTTCGGGAATTGGCCGTTCTCTGGGGGCCTGAGGCCTTACCCTGTGCCCTTTACCGCCTCCGCCCAGAGCGCCCGCAGAGAAGCTTCGCGTCCCTCCCCAACGCCCAAGCTGCGGCTCCGGCTGCAGCGCTGAGCCTTCCCGGCAGGGGCGCTGGGAATCCACTGACGGCCGGCTTTCATGCGGAGTCCCGATCCGCGCCCACCTCAGCCCTCAGAGTAGAACTTTTCTTGGGGCGGCTCAACGCCCGAGGTCTTTGGAAACCCACAGACACCAGGACCCACCTCATCGTGGGCTGGATGTTATCACCAGCTTGGCTGTCCTGTCCGGCCTTCTCGGTTCCCATTTTCCATCGCAGTCCGGGCGGAAAAATGAGTTCGCTAAGGTTGGGGCTCCGGAACGGGTGGTCGTGGCCCTTCCTCACCTGCCTCAGATTCCCAGGCGCCCCTTCCCCCGCTCCGCTGCGCGCCCCGTCCCCTTCTCTGGCACACGTTGGGGACTCTCCTCTTCTCTCCCCCGCCCCTTTGCAGCAGCAGCACCTCACCTTCCACACCGCCCCCCCCCACTTCAACTCTTCACTCTTCCTCCTTCCCCCTTCATCCGTCTCCATCTCCACACCCCCCTGCGTTTCTCTTTGACCCTCGCCCATCTTTCTCTCCTCCGGGCCCCCTCCCTTAGCTCCGTCTTAACCGTTCCCCACAAAGCGACTCTTCGCCCAACCCCCAAGAAGAAGAGACGAGCCCGGAGGTCGGCAGGCTCACCAAGCCCCCTCCCTAAACCCTGCTCTTTAAATAACTCCTCTCCCAGCTCCGACCGTCTGGGCCTTTTCAATCCCTGGAAATTAGGGAGCTTCTCGGAGGCGCTGGCAGAACTGCGAGACCGGTAAAGCACGTCTCCGCGTGGAGCTCGTATTTATTATGTTCCTTCTCGCCAGCCCACCTGGACTCTCCCTCTACATGCAGGGCTCGAGGGGTTCCAGCTGAGCTTCGGCAGGGGGTTATGGGAGGGCTGGACTCTACCGCTGGCAGCAGGCACTTTGAAAGAGCAACCGAGCTCCCTCGGAAACGCTCAGAAACGAATCTAGGCAAGACCAGGCGGGGTGGGGGGTGTCTGGATCCTCCAGGTGATGCGGTCTCCGGTTACCACGGGGGTCCCGGGAGAATGCAAACCCGATACCACTGCTGCTCCCTTCCAGCCCTCTCCCCCGCACCTTCTGTAGGCTTAAGGAACAACCAGGTTACACCTGTGCGTGGTGGAGGGCTGTGGGTGCAGGGGTGCTGGGAGAGGAGGGGTGTCCTGAGCCGTCTGCCTCGCTCTCAGTCCCGCCTTTCTGACAACTCACAGGCATAAAAACGCAAGCACAGCCCACCTGCCCAAAGCCCCAGCCCGAGCACATCTCCTTCGCTCACTCAAACACATATACATACGCGCGTGTAAATACACGCGCAGGGAGCCGAGGACCTCCGCACACCCAGACAGCTCTGGCTCAGCCGGGTCCCCCCACCCCGGGACTCCCTCCTCGCCTCGCCCTCCGTAGCCTGCCCGCCTCAGCGCACGCAGGCGCACAGGAGCGCTCTACGAGCCCCCGCCCAGGCGGGGGTGCAGGCTGGTGTGTGTGTGGGGGGGGTGCACTGAGCAGCAGCAGGGGCGGGCCGAGGAGCCGGAGTGGAGTCCCTGGTCCATCCCGCGCTCAGCTTCTGTGTGCTGTCTCCCTACGCGCAGGCTCTGGCTGGGTTCCCCCTTGGCTCCCGAACCGGAACAGTTGGCGCTGAAAACACTTCACTCCTCCTCCTCCCGTGAGACCCCCTCTGTCCTCCCTGCGTGCCATCTCCCCCACCCCCGCCCCACCCCAACGGGCCGGAAGAGTAACCCCCTAAAAGCTGCGAGAAGCGTCTCCTAACTCATCACCGGGAGCAGGCTGGAGGCTGGATTTCGGGGAGACTCTGGATGAGGGTCCAGCCCCTTCTCCTGGATCTGGCTTGGTTTTCATATTTTAAAAGAGGATTTTCTCTTTACCTTTGAACACTCCTTTTTTTTTTTTTTTTTTTTTTTTACAAAATTTCTGTTGGAGCTCGGTGGGGAAGATTTTGGGGGATCTTATTTTAAGGGGAAAAAAGCACCGAAGGGGCATTTATTATTTTTTTCCCTGGGTTTGGAATCCTCTGGACAAGAGAGCGAGAAACAAGAGGGAGAGCGAGGAGGGAAGAGTGGAGAGGACCCAGGAGGCGCGCCAGCCTCAGCCACCTTCTTCCAGGCGGCCCCCTCCCCATTCCCCCGACACACACTCGCTGGCTTGCTCGCCTGCACACGCACACCCCCGCGCCGGACCAGCACCTCGGCAGGCTTCACACACTCGGCAGCCCCAGCCTCGGCAGCCGCAGCGGGATGGAGGTGGCGCGCACGGAGCGCCCCACAGGCTGGCCCGGGGCGCCCCTTGCCCGGACTGGGCTCCTGCTTTTGTCGACGTGGGTCCTGGCCGGTGCAGAGATCACTTGGGGTGCGACAAGCGGTCCTGGGCGCCCGGCTGGTCTGGCTTCACGGCCCCCCGTGCTACTCCCTCTCTTGCCGCGGGCAGTGGAAAGCCAGTGGCCGGAGAAGCTGGCAACAGCGCGGAGAGGCGCCGCACTGGGGCACCATCCAGGACGAGAGCCGCTGCTCCATCCAGGCGGCGTCAGTGGCAGAAAGAAGCAGGGAGAAGCCGGGGGGCTGTCCCCGGCAGGTGCATGGTGGGGACAGGACATACCAGCTACTGGCAAACCTGGCAGCTCGAGGAGGAGTCGCCGAGCACAGCCCCCCAGTGCCCTGGAACGCGAGGACACCCGGGCCACTGCCTTATCCGATGGTTCCAAAGGAAGCCGTCATCTGGCCAAGGGTCTCCGGGAAGAGGTGAAGGCACCGCGGGTTGGGGGTGCGGCGGCCGAAGAGCTCAGGCTGACCAGCACCTCGTTTGCTCTGACTGGGGACTCGGCCCACAACCAAGCCATGGTGCACTGGTCGGGACACAACAGCAGCGTGAGTACCCGCCCGGGCGGCGGTGGCGGAGCCCACCAACTCCCCACAGCAAGGGAGAATGGGGGCAGGAGCGAGGGACAGTTACTGGAGGGTCTTGGTGGGGTGGGGGAGGGGCGCCATGACTTTTAGAGACAACAGGTTCATCCAACGTCCCCCACGCCCCCAACAGGTTAGTGGAGTTTGTTGGAAGATGGCGTGTGTGTGTGTGTGTGTGTGTGTGTGTGTGTGTGTGTTTATTGGAGACCCCAGGATTGCGGCTGCCATGAAAGGAGAAGAGGAAGAAGGGGCTTAAAGTTGAGCAGAGAAGGGATCTGTGGTCACTTTCTGTGGTGCTCGGCTTGGAGCGTGAGTTTTCCTGTTGGGCGATTCAATTCGTGGGTGAGAACGCTGATTTGGGGAGGAAGCCGCTGGGAGAGGCTGGGCAGTCTGACATGTATCCCCGCCACAGCCGGGCGTCCTTCCCCCTTCTCCCCTCCAATCAGAAGGAAGGGAACGCAGGACGCCCTGCTCCTGCTGCCCTGGGGTCCCGGCCCGCGGTTTCCGGCTCACTTTCTCCCCGCTCTGGCGGTGAGCAGGGCCGAGCCTACCCAAGTCTGGCCTCCCGTGACACTGGTTTCACCCTCCAAACCTGGGCAGCTGCCCTGGAATGCTCTGGGAGAGGCCGCCCAAAAGTTTAAAGTGTGAAGTGAAATTCAGCATCCATTCCGCACGCCTTGCCCAAGCATGCACAAGCACACACAAGCCTCTGAACAGAAAAACTCGCCTGGGCTGCTTCGTCCTGCACTACGATCAGCTTCGCGAGTGGAGTTGGGCGCTTTCAGCACACACCTCTCCGCTACTCCTTTCTCTACCGCCAGGTTCCCCCAGACGCGGCTGTATCGAGAGGTGGCGCCCTTGAGTCCACGCCAGTGGCTCTGAGCTCCGTCCGCTGCAGCCCCAGCAGAACCGAGCGCGCAGGGAGGGGTCTCTCCTCACCCACCTCCCCGCACCCTGTGCCGTGCAGCCTTGCCTAGGAGTATCGGGGGAACGGGCTTTCTGGGAGGAGGGGGCGGGCTCCCGCGATTTACCCTACTCCACTCACTTCCGCTGCCCCCACTTGAGCCAGTCTCACAAAAATCCTTTTCTCTGGCTCTCGGGATAGATGGCAACTCAGCGCTGGGCAGGAGGATGATGGATGTCTGCACAGGCAGCCTGGGGAGCTCGTTTGATGGGAAAGCACCGCCCTCTTCCCTTTGTGTATCTCTTCATGACCGGCATTAAAGATTTCGCTGGGAAGTCTTCGCCTTGTTTTAACGGGGCCTGGCTGGGGCTGTCACGGGCTGGGGGGTGAGAAGCGAGGAACAGGAAAGCTAGGAGCTCCACAGCGCAGCACATCGGCAATTCTGAGCATAGACTCCCGGGTTCTTAACGACACAGCGCGGGGAGCCCAGCCTGGCTGCTGGGCGGGCAGGACTGGGTGGTGGCTGCTTCATTTGCCTCCAGTGAAGACCCCTATAACTTTGGAGTGGGCAGCTCTGGATGTGGGGGATGGGCAACGTGTCCCTTTGCAAGGATGGGAGATTGAAGACTTAGTTCCCAGGGGTGTATGTGTTCCTTTCTGTGTTCTCACTGGATGAGGGGGATGTGTTGAAGTACATATGTCCTAGGAGGAGGAGGTGGTATCCTTAGTATCTGTAACTTTATTACTGACGGACACATTTAAACAGTATAAACTCACACTGCCTGGAGAGTTTCCTTACACTTCCATTTCTATTTCAAGGACCGTGTGTGTGTGTGTGTGTGTGTGTGTGTGTGTGTGTGTGTGTGTTGACAAGGGCCCAGAAGAGGGAACTTTAGAGAGTGGTCTTTGTAAATAGGAGTTAAATGAGCACAGCCTTCTCTGCCCATTGTCTGTGCGGCTGTGCAGCTGAGGAAGTGAGATGGCAAGTCCTGCCCAGCGCTCTCTGGGGAAATGACTCTCCAATGAAGAGAAGAACAGAAGGGTCTGGGACGTGGACCAGTTGGCCTTGGCATCCTTAGTGACAGTGATGAGAGCTGGACAGCCCACAGACAGTCCCCCAGGGGGGACACTGGTTGTGCTGCTGGCCTGTCTTATGGTCCGAGCAAAGGACAAGGTAGCATAGATGGGTTCAGGGACCCCATGTTGTCTTCTTTCTCTGGTCTAGAGGACTGTGTCTTTTGCTCCTGGGCTGGGCCTGTCTCTTTTGACCACGCTTTGCACACAGTATCAGTGAGAAAGGCTTTGTTGGGTACCAGGTCTGGGCTGCTGTGAGGGAAGATGGGGAAACATGGTAACATGGCCCTGTCTTTGAGAGGCTTTAGGGAAAGAACCCCTGCTAGAGTAATGGGGAAACAAGTTTCTGTTACGTTACCTGGTTGGTTTCTTTCTCCTCTTTCCCTGTCCTGAGGGCAGTAAAAGGAGGTGCTCTAAATAAAATCCAGGCGAGGCGTGGTGGGGATGATGAACCTCCACAAGGCCCCTTCATCACTGGTTTCGAAGTGGAGAGGGAGGGCCCAGGACAGAAAACTTGGGCCCTAGCATCAGGCTCTTTTGACATGAAAAGAGAATTCCATCTTCTCGTCTGACTTCAAAAGTGTTAAATCCGTCCTACTCTGGGAAGGCCACCAGGTTAATTTACATGCTGTCCTCCCAAATGCCTTTGGTGGACCTCATTAGTCCATGTGAGTTCCCTTCGGGGGAGTTTTCAGTCCCCTGGAGAGCTGGAAGTTGAACTCCACTCTGCCAGTCTGCAGCAGCCAGGCATGTAGAAGTGAACAGGCCAGGCCAAGACCTCCACCCCACCGCATGGGTCCAGCATGTGCCCAGGGGCTCAATGGGCGGAAGGATATCCTTGTCCCGGGCTTGGAACATGTATTCACTTTGGGCCCAGGAGTGGGGTGGAATGGCTTGTGGGGGCGATTGCCCACCAGGCTTGAGACGGAAGGCATCAGGAGGAATGGAGTCACTGTCCCTTGTTGACCGTTCTTACCCTGCCACGTGTTCCGGGGGGGAGAGGTGAGTGGACTTGGACTTGGAGCCTGAGTAATTTGCCATTTATTCTCTCCAGCTGTCTCCAGCTGGGATCCTGGTGATTAATGGGTTAGGGAATGTTTCACAAACACCCGGAGGGAGCCCTGTTCTCGTGGTTTACAGGGGAACAGCAAACATCATTCTGCCATTCTCCTACGGAAGGAGGGAAGAGGCTCCCTCTTGGTCAGTGAGTTGGCAGGTGGCTGTGGAGAGCTGTGAAGGCCTCCTCCTCCCTGGAGCAACCCTTGGTGGGGACCCCCATTCCTGGTATTGAGGTGACAGTGCTGCCTCTCCTTGGGTGGATCCTCACCACTTTCCAGCAGCTCACCCCGGAGGCAGCAATCTGCAGGCTGCTGCCCCTGCAGTGTGTCTGGTTGGAACGGCTTGCCAGATAGTTTTCAGTTACTGTGCCCAACGCTGCACCTTGGCGAAGAGAAATGGGAGATGTTGACAATCCCAGGTCCCTATCCGATGACCCCTCCCTGGGTGTGCTAGGAGGTGGGGACACACGATTCTGCCAGGCGGGATTGCATACCCTTAACTAATTCAGCTGAATTGTGTTCTAAAATATTTACTCCTAATGTGCAAAATAGTGGCAGATTTGATCAGATTAATTGTATTTCACTCACTTGAGCATCTAATTGTGGCTCCCAAACAGATTTTTCAAATAGCTTTTGGCTGCATTGTCCAGCCTTTACCGTGTCTGCTCACAGTCCCCAAAGTCACAATATCTTAATGCATTTTGCCTTCTCGGAGGCCTCATAAAGAAGCCTGCCACAGAAGCCATTTGCCAAAAAGAATCTGTTTTTAATTAATATTATGGGGGAACCGTCTCAGTTGAGATGTCGCTGGGAAAGGCAGAGAGCACTGATTGCTGCTGGTCACTGTTGTCCTGAGGGAGGAAGAGGAGGAGGGGGCAGACACAGGCTACTTGTCTGCTCTGTGCTTCCTCTGATGTCTGGCTTACAGAGTGTTATTTGCTTCTCAGATCCTGCAGTGGTTTCCAAAGTGAGCAGAAGTTGCAAACTCCGTAATCGGAAGGCCTGATTGAATGACTGCAGAAGTGCAGTGGCTGGAGCTTGCTTTGGAGTTGACAAGGAAGGAAAGGCAGGAAGTGGCTTCTCCAACTGTGCTGGGTTTAAGGGGAAGTGAGGGGTTGCAGCTCCAGGGGCAAGAAGGCTCAGAGGGCAGAAGGGAGAAGTGCTTTTCCTTCTGGCTGTGTAAATCGGTTATGCGATGAGGGGTGGAGATTTAGGAACTGGATGATGTGTGGGTCCTGAATCATCCCAGAAGGTGCAGAGAGGTGCAGCATAAACAGGTTGAGATGGGAAGATGTGTCCAAAGGCCCAGGCTTTAACTAAGGCTAGGTGTACCTGGGTAAAGGCCTGGGTAAAGGCCAGCTAGGCCCGGTGCTTTGGCTCACCTGTTGATCGCCTGCTTCCTTTGGCTCTTGGCTGGCTTGAGACACGTCCCTCACAGGGGAATGTATCAAAGGGTGATTTTTCCACAAATTTGGGGGAAAAGGGAGCTTGTAAGGGAGGTGGAAAACACAGTATGCTCTTGCCTCCTTTGCCTGGTGCCTGGTGCCTGGTGGGCCACTTTGAGGCATCAGAATTGGCACTGTGGAATGGATGTAATTTGGCTGACAATACTCACCCCTTTGGTATTGGTGGGTGGCTGACTTTGTTGGCATTGAGTAGAGATGAGAGAGCTCTGTCTTACTTGGAGTAGGTACTGTGTCCTGTTTGACCATGTGGGTCAAGGAGTGACAGTCCCAAGGCTCCTGTAGCAGAGGTTACAAAGAAATCAGAGATCCTCATCTTTGGAGATGTTGACGATTTACTTCTCACTTGTTCATAACTTGACAGCTGCTATCACCAGGAGTATTTCAGATAGTATGTTCACATTCTAGCTTAAGTACCTTTAGCCTTTTAGATTCAAATCCAAAAGACCCTTAGCCTGGCATTCA